TTTTTTTTTTTTTTTTTTTTTTTGATAAGAGTAATGATTAATAAATTAATTTGAATTAATTGTTAACACTTAAGGATTCGATCTCTGATTGAGTGAATATTTCATCTCCCTCAAATTAAGTACAGGGTCATTGAGCTATTTTTTAGTAAAGTTTACGACAGTAATATAACTCGAAATTTCGACTACCTCATCTAAACACTTAAAACTTGAGATTGAAACATTGGGTCTAAAAACCCGATTTCGATACTACTAGCTATTATAGGTAGTGAGTAGGTGCAATATGGCTTTGGGGACAAGAAATGTCTCCCTTTGTTGTCACCAGAAGGTGGCAACCACGATTCTAAGACGAGATTCTAACCGAAGGTGTATGGAGGACACCTAATTAGTCTTGTAACACCTAATTCTAGCAGTGTGACTGTACGTGAGTAGAGCCATCTGATCCTTACCTTTACACAGTTCCATAGGTTGCTTCTAGGTTTCCAAGTCTCCCATGAGTGTGCCACTTGTCCCTAGTCTTAATATCATTCAAGAAAAATAATTGTTATTTTTATTGTAAAATAATAGTTTTTTTATTATTTTCAGATTAAGGTTTTAACTTTTAAGGGTAATTTTCATTCTTATTTGTTTTACTCTTAAAAAAAAAAAGAAAAAATTTATCAAAGAATGGATAATTAAAATTAAGAAGTAATTATAAAATAAGAAAAAAATATATCTTCTTAAAAATATAAAAAAATTTATTATTTTTAAGATAAATTTTAAATAAAAAAAGGTCTGAAACGGGAGAGTAACTGTAGTATCCTTTTGGGTTTTGACAAGGTGTCCATGGGTTTAACTTGTAATCCATGTCAGACACTTGTATAACACTTGCCTTCAACAAATAGTTGAGTTGGGATAATTAGGAAATATTTCATCTATTTTAAAATAATTATTATTGTTTATTTTTTAATTAAAAATTTGAAGACAATTTATAGATTCATTTATATTACCCTTAAGAAAAAATTAAAAAATAAAGTAAAATTTTTTATGATAAAATAATTAATTAAAATAAATAAATAATGATAGGGTTAAAGTAAGAGAAAAATATTTGTTTATCTTAAAAAGTAGATAAAAAACAACTAATTTGAAATAAATTTAAATTTAAATAGTGATAATTTATTATGGGACGGAGGGAGTAGTTTTGAGTTAAGCAAAAAAAACTAGTTTGTTGCTTAGTTCTCACCAAGAGTTTGCATTCACCTTAGCGTTGCAGGCCAATAGCGTTTAGCTTTTCGTGAAGTTGGCGTTACACCTAGCAAGTGTGATTGAAAGCTGTGTTGGATTCAATCAATCCTGTATGCTTTAAACATCAAGCCAGATTTTGTTAAAAACTTCGAGTTGTTGAGTTAGCTTTCCCAACCAAGGCTTCCTAATTTTCATAACTAGGTTCTTAGTTTCTTTTTCTTTTTTTTTTTCGATGTAAAGGTTCTTAGTTTCTAGAACTAGGAATTCTATACCTTAATTTTTGTAACTAGGCATGCATTCCCTTAGTTTTCATGACCAAGTGACCCCTTTTATGGTCAGCAATATGGTGGTCCTGAGCAACTGAAAGTTGCCATGTGTCCATGTCTGAGCTTTTGACCCGCCACTTAGAGATAGTACTAGCTACGATAGCTAGTGAGGAGCTGCCATGTGCTTTTGGGACAAGGAATGGCTCCCATTGTTGTCACCAGAAAGTGGCAACCACAGTTCTGAGACGAGATTTTGACTGAAGGTGGATGGAGGACACGTAACTAGTAAGGACTGGAGGGGGACGGGTGGACACTTGCAAAATAGACTTGCGTTATAGCTTAGCCAAATGTCGAAGTTGGTTGGTCTTCGACTTGGTACTCTGATACTCAATGTAAGATTTGGATTCATGGAGGAAATCTCTACATGGGTGAGTGAAGAGTTGGAGGAAGATAAGGTTGGGAGAGATGTGAAGAGTGAGTGTATGTGAGAGAGTGAGTGAAGATATCTAATGGTTACCTTTACACAATTCTGTGGGTTACCTCTAAGTTTCCCGACCCTCTTATGAGCGTATGCCACTTGTCCTCAATCTTAATATTTCTAATGAAAGGTAATTACTTCCTTCATTTAAAATAGTAAATGTTTTTTGATTTTATCTTCATATGAAGGTTTTAGGGATAATTTTTATTTTTTTCTATTTTACCCATGTTGAAGAATGAATTTGTATGGCCTTGAAATTGATGACATGTATGGTTCTACATCCATTAGGGCCTGCATGACTTATTTTCTACATTAGACATACTGTTATTATTTTTTACTGATTATTGCAACAAAGTCAACATCACCAGAAACAACACTCATGTACTTCGTTGGAATCATTGCACAATGCAGCCCACTCCAACATTTTTATATACATGGCCAAACATGACTAGATCTATTTCCACGACATAGCTAAATGTTTTTGATGGTCATGTCTTTTGCGGTAATGTTCACTATTACATATTTTGGCTCTCAACAATGGATAAAAAGCCTATTTTGCTATATGGTTCCCATCGATGGACAACGGGCTAATCTTATTACATCTATATAGCTACTAGCAATGGACAAAGGACTAGATTTGCTATCTCATCTAGCCTTCAGCAATGGGTAAAAGTCTACACATTTCTACATATTTCATTACATTGGCTCCTGACAATAGATAAAGAGCTGGATTTTTACATATTTTATCTCATTGGCTCTCGAAAACGAACAAAGAGTCAGTGTAACTCGATAGGATTAGCGTGAGGCCAATAACAGTTGCAACCCTACGATTGGAAGAGATGGCTACCCTCAAGCAATAAAAATCCATCAAGTAACGGCTGGTGGTCCCTTAGTGGTCACTCGTGCATGGTGGTGCGGTGCCCGGTGGGCAACAACAACTAGGACCATTCTCTAACGGTGTGGGTGCACAAGAAGGGCTAGCATTTGTCAGTGATATCACACTTTGTCGTATCAAAGGCCATGGATGCGGCGAGTGTCCCCCTTCCATGTTGACAACTCCACCCTTCTCTTTGTCACATATTCATTGCTATGGTGCAGTCTAACTTAGTAAGATTTACCCCTTCATGACTTGGTGAATTAGTGGGAGTGCTCTTCTAATTCCACATAGTTCACGCCCCAGCCATGGGCAGAGCTAGCCACTATTGTCCCTCTAGCTATAAGGAAGCTATTCATGACTGACCTTGCAATATCTACATGCCTCACTGCCATGCGCATCATTATTTTCTCAAATAAAGGGACAAAATTATCAATCGCCGATAATCCTGACTTATAACATAAATCTTCTATGCTTCACATGTTAATAGGTATCGCCAATCAGCGATGCTTAGCTCAAGACAATGATATCACAACACACATCCATGCCATCTCTTCTTTATCTTGGCGCCATGCCAGCCATACATAACAACATCATACAAGTATCTATCATGGCCAGTAAGCAAGAGGATGCAACGAACATTCATCCCCATTGTCCCCTTTAATATACAAGGGAGTATCCTTCTTCGCTACTCCTCCGTTATATATGTCCATGCATATTACACTTAAATATTTAAATATATTCTCATTTGCATCTTACTCTCATTACAAGTGAACCCAAGCCCATGAATCCAAGCTCATGGGAATTACTCGAGATAAACTATGGGAGTAGTGGCTTGGCAGGTATGGATGGGTGAATGTTGTTTGTCTAGCAAAGCGAGGTATTCGCACCAACGAAGCTTGGCATTGGCGATGTTGTTTGACTTCGCCAAAGAGAGCTGAGCGGCAAATATGTGAAAGTGGACTTGATTCCCCGAATAGTACCCTTTGATGCTAACTAAAGGCTTAAAATTCCATTTAAAACTAACTGAAGATGTTGTTTTGGGCACCATCAACAAGATGCATCCATATTAATGCAAGGGTGGCTACACAAGTTTCATGGCCTTGGAAACTACTAAAAAGACTACTGTTTGCTTGTAGAATCTTCCAAAAATCCTGCACAGACCTTAGGGACTCCACCAAAATCTTATGCAGGTGTTGTTTCTGTCGGCTGCACTCAAGCACCTTCCCAAAAATGTGATTTCGTATGGCTGGAGGAATTACCAAAAATATTCAATTTCTAGTTCTTTGTTAGAACCAATGAAGTTTCGCTAGAACCACTAGGCAATTCATGATGCCACTGCCAAAGAACTATCAATAATGTCCAAAGCCACTAGAAGGTTGACAGCTCATCCAAAGCTACTTATTAGCCACTGCACAACCCAAAAATTATAAAAATACCACTGCACATGTATATATTATTTTTTCCCATTTTTCAGAGAAAAAGAAAGAACAAGGACCCTTCACGATTTTCCAACTTCCTGCACACTAGACCTCCAATTTCCCTCAAAAGAATTTCCTATCTTCAACCCCTTATTTTACACACCAAAACCTCCAGAAATTGCTACTTACTTCATTATTTCCTACACCTCAACGCTGTGTAATAATTTCCAGCATTGCAGCTCACCATGGCTGGAAGACAACATGCTTCAATTTCAGCTTTTGGGTAATTTTTCTTGAGTATCAGAGGATCAAGTTGCAAGATTAGCATAAAAAATGGTATCAAGCATTCTACTTAAAAGCCCCCAAGCAGCCATCCTTCCTTCTCCCATCACCACTTTCAAGTTTATCCTTTTTGATTTCAAAGGAATTTTAGAAGAGAGATTGTTATATTTCCCACTTATAATATGAGGGTTGCTTATTATAGGTGAGGATATTTACTAGAGATAATAGAGATCACATTTATTGTCATTATTATCATGTTGCAATACTTTATGTATAAATGTGATTCTCAAGTTGTAATCTTTGACCCTTATGTATCCTCCGTCCATGCTACCTTTATCATGACATCTATTTCCTCGTTACCCTTTTGTTAGTTGTGTAATCATCCTTAGTTCCTAGGATTCTATTATTTTTTGCTCAACCCTCTTTTCCTCAGCTTGGCTGGAGAACTATGTTCAGCAACTTCGTTGGGGAATCTATTGTCAACCATCACCACTGGGTAGAACAAGATGGCTCGTGGCACGTAGCTTTTAACACGTGAAACAAGAACTACCGAAAGAGCCTTCCTTATTCCTCTATGAGTTGTATCCAAGTCGACCTCCACATCATCTGCGCTGTTGACTTATCATCTCGCATCACCAACACATCCCCAACAACCCATAAATAATTAGAGTTGAGAAATAATTATAATGTTAAAATCGAAAAAAAAAAAGTTTTTCTTAAAATATGAAAGAAGATATCTTTGGCCTTTTAATTGAGATGAGACAACTTGCAAATTCCATGGCCATAGCATGAATGAAGGCTCATTTAAGAAGTATATTTATCTTGGGAATCAAAGAAAGATATATGAAATGTCAAGGATGATGACACACAACATACATCTTGCTTGATGGAGATATTGTGACGAAGGGAATAAATTACACAAGTATCAGTCATAAGAAGGTTCCTCGAAGCCATTGACTATTTCTATCACTTTGAGTGGCCATGATGTGTTACTAGATACCACTCTTGTTCTATGAGTGTTTCTCACTACCATCATAATAGAAACCTAAAGAGTCACACACTTAGTATGTTCTGGGAATTGAGATTTATATAAATCCAAGTTTATGGATATGAGTTAATTTATGTGGAAATAGTGTTTTCACAAGAGAAATAAATTAATCAAAATTTAAAATAAATTGGTAGAAAGAATTAATTAAATTAAATTAAATTAATTAATTGAAGTTTGGATTTATTATAAGTTAAAGACAAGAAAAAATCCAAAGTGACAATTAAGTCCTTAGAAAACCATATGACCGAAACCCTAACCTTTTGGGCTTAGGGTTTTAGAGGCATAATGGGCTTAGAGCCTTAGCCAAAAATCCTAGGCCATATTGGATTGTGGTGCACGGCAAGAAAGGGATAAAAAAAAAAAGGAAAGGAAAGGAAAGGAAAGTCTTCTCCTTTTGGGTTTTTTATTTTGACTAGAAGACTAAATTTGGCAATTGCAATTGGATTAGAATTGCAAATCTTCTATTTCCTATTAATATAAATAGGTGTAGAAAACCCTAGATCCTTGATGATAAGGATGATGGAGGATTTTTCCACCTTAGAATTTTAAACCATTAAAATCATTTCACCAATAGCCTCGAAGGAGAACAAATTGACTTTTTGATTGCTAGCACTTTCAAAGACTCGATCTTTTTCAAATCCTGAGCATATATGTGGATCACTACTAGAGGAATTCAGTGCTTGGATTATTAGGTGAGTTCATTGGAGGACGATAGTCAAATCTATGCATCAACGAGGCACGCATTGTTGAGGTACTTAACACAAACCCATCCTTAACCAATAATGGATTCATAAGAATTTTAGGTGGGTTGAAAGAAGACAAAATTAAATTTTAAAATTTTAAAATTTTTTGCTTCTGCTATGCCCTCATAAACCTAGCATTTCCTTGGCATTTTTTCTTTGAAGTGGCTGACCTCTATGTGGAATGACTGGAAGAACATCAATTTTATGTTGAAAATGCACTTTCAAAGTAGATGATGTTGCAAGAAGTAGGAATACTTCCTTGCAAAAAGGAATTCCAGAGATAGCACCAAGGACTCCTCACTTCTAAGGCGACAATGGAATTTGTTAATTAAATAAGACAAGAAAGAAAGACATAGTTGAGGGAAAATAAGAGTGCATTATAAAACTTGAGGGCTAGCAGCCTAAGGCTAAAGTGAGCTACAAAACATGAAAATAACTATATACTATGATGACATATCCAAGTAAATAACTATTAGCAGACTTAACTTGTAAAAATGTAAATAACTATTGACATATCAACACCTAGTTCCATTAGGCAAACCTCATATCAACCAAACATGTGAGGGATCTTGGGTTTATAAGCACAAACTCACCACTACCCTAGTAAGGCTTTTTGAAATCCACTTTCATTTTTTTTTTCAAAGATTATAAATTTAATGGGATTTATTTTTTATAGTTTGAATTACACATGAAAAATATAGTGTAATTTATGAATTTATTAAAACACTTTTAATGAAATTATTTGTTATATTATTTTATTAAAAATATTTTAATAAATTTATAAACTAAACTGCATATTTAATATATAATTCATCATGTAAAATATATTTTTAAAATTTAATATTATATAAATAAAGAAAAAAATTCAAATCAATCCTATATATTTAAAAATTAAAAGTTCAAAAATTCAAAATTATGTCATTTTTATTAAAGGGAAATAGTTAACAAATGTATAAAATTTCATTTTAGTTCAAAAAATAATTACCTTAAACTAAAAAAATTATAATTACCACCGAGAAAGATTCATTCACCAATCATCAAATGCCACATCATTTTTTAATCATCACATTAGTGGGATGTGGAGAATGGGCAAGACGGGGAGATGAGATGCGAACGGGTGTGGCTGTTACGGGTTTCACTTTAAAAATAAAAGAATAAAAATAATATTTAAAGGGTTTATTATTTTATAATTTGAATTATTTTAAATCAAAAAATAAAAAATTTTAAATTAAAAAAAAAAACTCAATATCAAAAAGTTGTCTTTTATTTTAAGATTATTATTTTACAATTTAATTTAAATTATAATACTATTTTTTAATGTTTATACGTGAAAGTCAGGAACTAATACAAAAAAACTGACATCGATGGTGGTGTGACACTAACTGCGTCATTGGTAAGAAGCCCAACAAATGTTTTTCTTAAGTGGAGAGACCGAAACGAACAATTCCTAAAGTGCAGTACAAGGCAAGGAGCCCAACAAACGTTTCTCTTAAGTGGAGAGACTTCACGAACAATTCCTAAAGTACAATACAAGGTTGAATTATTACAGACTTTCTTGTACTTTCCTTTTTCTTTTTTTTTTTGTTTTTAGAGATTTATCTTTTATAGGTTAGGTATTGAAATCACTAAATTATTATTAGTTACCGCCAAAAATTATTATTAATAAATTAATAAAAAAATAATTTTATTAAAAATATTTTAATAATTTTAATATTCAAATTACATTTTTAATACGGAATTTAATTTGAAAAATGCTTTTTTGTTTTTTCGGTCTATTATCAAAGTAGTAATTTTGCATCAACTTTAATGTTCAGACTAATTTTTCGTTAAGAGTTTTTTTTTTTTTAAGAAAAATAAATATATATCTTGTGTTTAATTAAAAAGATAAAAGTAAGGTTAAATATCCTTTTTGGTTCCTCTACTATAGGAAAAAACCCTTTTCTGGTCTCTGTACCGAAAAAATCTTTTTTTGGGTTCTTACTGTTCACAAATCCGATCCTTTTTTAGTCCTTTCGTTAAATTTTGGTTAATGTGGCAGGTTAATTAATGAAAACACTTATTCTTTTTTTTACAAAATTACGTGGAAAATCCATGTGACAAACAATTAATAACATGTTAAATTTTTTACTTTTAATTACTAATATACCCTTGTCTTCTTCCCCGGCTTCTCCTTCCTCAAGCCTTTTTTTTTTCTTTTTTTTCTTTTACCTCCAAGCGAATCTAAGAGCCTGGGTTTGTGAGGAACCCAACTCGCGGGGTTCACGCGGAACCCAGCTGGCTTGGATCAAAACCATGAAGAAACACCAAAAAAAAAAGACCTCATATCTACTATTGGATGCAAATAATCAATCATCTCTCAATAACCAGATGCATACATAAATAGGATCATCCTTTTCAAACCCAACTAAGCAAATCAACCCATTGCATGAGTTCATATGACCAAAATCACAAGTGGGTAAGCTATCTTTTGCAGTAAATTCCATTTTCCTGACCTCAAACCCTGCCCCATTGTCCTCAATCTGGGCAACCTGAAGTCTCTTGGACCCGTTAACGGGGGGTAGGGTTTTGATCATGATACTAACAGCTGATCTCGTAAGATGTAGCTGAGCAAACTCAGGATCGAAAATTAAATGGAGAAATCTTTTGTAAACGCACTTGTAGGTGAGAAGGGTGGTAATGGGAAGCCGTGAGAGTATGTCCATGACGGCAGCGCACGATAGTTGCAGGAATTTGCAGGCGTTTCCCAACGGCCATCCCGCTTCTATGGGTTTGATGTCGCTGCTTGATGGAACGATCGTTGCCTTTTTCTTGTTTTGCATTTGGGACTTGGATGCACCTAGTTTCACTGAAAAATGGGTTTAAAGGTTCAACCTTTCACAGTTGACATTATCAAATCCATGGACAAAAAAAAAAAAAAAATTGGAGGTCTAGGGTTTCTAGTTCTCGGCGGTGGACAGAAAGAAATGGGGGGACTCACAAAGATGTTCATGTATTTCGGCTCGCCATTGACGTCAGTGAAGTTTGAGAGGAACTCCTTCACGAGAACTGTTAACAGATCGAAAGAAAAAGAGATCAGAGGGGAGTCAGAGTGAGATCTGAAGAGGTCGCAGAGAAAGGGAGGGAGAGCGCATACCTTTGTCTGTGTCGAAATCGAGATTCTTCATGGTTCGCCTTCACGGAAGGAGAGATGGGGAGCGGTAAGGAGGAGGTAAAAGAAAAAAAAAAGGCTGAAGGAAGAAGAAGCCGGGGAAGAAGACGAGGGTATATCAGTAATTAAAAGTAAAAAGTTTAACATGTCATTAATTTTTTGCCACATGGATTTTCCACGTAATTTCGTAAAAAAAAAGAATAAGTGTTTCCGTTAATTAACCTGCCACATCAACCAAAATTTAATGGAAGGACTAAAAAGGGTCGGATTTGTAAACAGTAATGATAAAAAAAGGGATTTTTTCGATACAGGGATCAAAGAGGGGCTTTTTCCTATAGTAGAGGGACCAAAAAGGGTATTTAACCTAAAAGTAATTATAATATATCTCATTCAATATAAGCACTTAACAATCTATAATTCTCATATGCTATAACAAATATATTCCTTAAAGTATAAAGTAGCTTGAAAAATAAAATAAATTTTAAAAAATAACTAAACAAATATATATGACTATTTAACTGTCCCTTGCTTCTTAGACATTAGATATATTACTACAACACACTTAACACCATAGCAATTTACAACCAAATATAAACCTTAGTCTAAAATCATTGCACTCCAAACATCTCTTATAGACAAACTCATTATCTATCTTTGACATCTATCAAAAGTCAAGAAGATCAAAAAGTTCTTTAACATTCCAACATTAAAAGATTTGAAATAAAAAATTTATCTTTTCATTTATAAAATTTAAAAGTAATAACGAGACTTCATCTATATTATCACAAATAAAACAAACATCTACCATCGATAGAATGACACCGTACTAAGGATGACACAAAACCCTACATGCAAAGATATGGAACCACACCAAAAAGCAGTACAAACCTTCAAAAATAGAGGAATGAAATACTAAGTATAAAACATCAGATTTTATAAACTATCTGGTTAAAGGTGCAGTTTCTCAACCTCGTTAACTGTGTTCAATCCTTCTCTCATTCCCTCAAAAATTGCATTTGTTCAAAAAAAAAAAAAAAAGCAAGTATAAAAACATGGACAAAGAGTTGTAGGAAAACCCACCGCTAGATGGACAAAGCCATCCATGCGGCAAGATTTTTGTAACTTTTGGGGACAGCGATGCTCTTCGTTAAGAGTATGTTCAAAATATTAAAAGTGAACTTTAAGTGTTAAAATTATTAAATTATTATAAATAAAAATAATATAAAAATAATTTTATTTAAAATATTTTAATAATTTTAATTTTTAAATTACATTTTTAATGTGTAATTTAATATATAAAACACTCTTTTCTCTTTTTTTTTTTTAATTTATTATCAAGGTGGTATTTTTACATCTATAAATATTCAAACTATTTTTTTTAACAATTTTTAAGTGCACCCTTTATGCTACCTTAATACATATACATATAAGGAATTTTTTCAGTTTTGTCTTTAAGATACATGTTAAATTTTATTAAATGTAAAATTTTTAATTAATTTTGTATAAATTTTTATACCAAATTTAATTAAAATAAAATATAAAATATAAAATTAAAATA